AGTTGCTTATGGTGTTTATTGAGGATGCTTTATAGAATCCAAATGCTGGTTCCAGCCTGGATGCATTTAAATCATGGGTTGGAGGGGAGGGGGCGTCACTGGTTCAAACATAAGGAGGTGCAAAGCAGTTGTTGAAGTTGGGAAGAGACCATGGAGGTCCTCGGTTCATGGAGACTGTCCCCACCAGCATGGGCACCAGTGAAGGGAGCATGAAGGGTACGGTGGGAGTAGATGGAGAAAAGGGCATGATGAAGAAAGTGTTTACTGGCTTAGATGTATTTGGCTTCCAGCTACTTATAAACAGAGCTTGTTTGAGCTTATCATCTGTGAAATGGGCTGAAGGATGTCTGCCCCTCAGCACACAAAGTTCTGCCACCTCCAAATGTTCAGAAATCCTCTCCAGCCTCAGATCATGAAATGACTTAAAATACTTTTGCAACCTAATAAAAGTTTGGGTGCTTGTTATTTGCCTTCTGGTTTTTGAGCCTTCCTGCTTCATATTTTCCAGCTTTTCTCTGCAAACACAAAGGTTAGAAATTATTTTAAATGAAAGTTGAGACTCTCCTCATCCCGGTAGTTTGACCTTTTTCAGAAAAATACCAGGTATAAGGGGTGGAGGGGGGGGGGAGATCATTGCTAGAATGGTGATTTCTGGAAGGACTTCCGTAGGAGTTAACTGAGGTAGCCTGTTTTGGCGATGAGTAGGAGGGGATGGGATAGAAGTAGATTTAAATAGTGAATTTGCTGCAAAGAGGGCAAATTCTTATTTACTCCAGTGCCCTCTCTTATAATAGACCAGCAAATCAATGTCCGATATTTCAGAACAAACACAAGACATACTCTTTGCCTAGGACATAATTAACCTGTGGGACACCTTGCCCTTGCAGGATTGTTGTACCTGGACATTTTGGCTGGATTTCACAAAGGGTTCAACATTAACATTGGTGAGGAGAAGGTCTATGTGTGTCATAGGTTTGAATACTTGACAGCTATAATTCCTGATGCTTCAGGATGGACTTGCCAAGGATCAGGAGTAAACCTCCTTTAGGAGGAAGTTAACTCATAATTTCCCAGTAGCTTAACTTCTGGCAGTGCCTGCAGGGTACTGAACTGGACAGACCACAGCCCTGCACCGGCATGGTGATGGTTATACTTCTTGCCCCATCGACTGATACAACCAGACACCTGCATCTTTCCTTCTGTGCTTGCAAAGCTTGAAGGAGAGGTGAATGCTGCAAACCTGATTCTGATCTGTATGTATGTGGGGAAGTCGATGGGGTTCAACTAATCTCTCTTCCCTCTATAATGTTCTTCTGGCTTCTCTGTAATTGAAGCCTACAGGATGACCCAGTCCTGCCGTTCCCCTGGATCACATGAATTTTATACATGCCTTTTTCATAATTACATTCCGGAAGACAGAGCTTCTGCCATGTGGCTTGTGTCTAGACTGGGACCTGCCAGGACCTTAGGCGGGGATAGTTTGGGGGTGGAGAGGCAGAGGAGTACCACATACTTAAGGTCTTCCCTCTCCCTCCCACATACCAAGATGAATGTGCATCTAAACCACCCTGAAGTCTACAGCCTTGGTTATGTATGAGGAGACGCTGAAGCCTTTACTCTTCTGTAGAAGAGATTGTAAAGGAAATAAGTCAGTGAGGCTTTATTGGTTTGCAATGCTATGAAAGTGTTGCAAAGGATTAAAAGAGACTGAGACAGATGGTGGCTATCTGCTAGAGGCAGGTATGCTGTTGGACACTGATGGCTTGATCCTGAATTCTGAGTTTGATGCATGGTTTTCTATCCTGTGATATAAGGAAGCTCAGAAGAGAGGATCGTAGTTGTCCCTTCTTCTCTTAGAATCCACGAATCTTCTGTGGGATGTTTTTGCAGGGCAGGGACATCCACTGCAACTGGTCACAAGGATGCACCCAAGTCTCCCTTTGACCCAACCAGCAACGGGAAAAGGCAGAGAAGCCTCTGAAAATGGCAAACCCCTTCACATTCAGATTAAAAGTACAAAGGTTTCCCCCTCAAATGAGGTATTGATTCCATGGTGTTCTCACTAATCAGCTAAGGAATTACAGCCTCCTCCTCTGAGGAGGATTGAATTAAAATGGTTTACTGGGGACAGAATAAGAAGTAATGGGCTTAAATTACAAAAAGGGAAATTTTGAATATTAGAAAGGACTTTTTTTTCAGTATATCTTTGGTTAAATACCAGGAAGGATTACCTGGAATCACTGGAAGTTTTTTCTAGAAGCAGGTTAGACAAGACCTGCTTGGTTGAGATGGTTTAGATGATCCTGCCTTGGGCAGGGGGTCAGACTAGGTGACCTCCTGAGGTCCCTTCCAGCCTTGTTTTTCTAATCCTATCTCTGGAAATCTCACCTTGGCAACTACTAAGAGTCTAGGTTAGCTGAAGCAATGACTATAAATAGCTGGATGAACTGTATGGGGATTTTGATAGGAGCTAGTTGTTGATATGGTCATTTTAGGGGATGGGCAAGGAGTTGAAGTAGATGTGACACAAAAGCTTTTGCTGTTCCTGTCCTTAGTGACCTGTTCCATACACCGAGGGCTTCGTTCTGCAAGTAGTGAGCAAGGCCACTACTGGAGCATCCCTTGTAGATCCAACAGAGAGTGACAAGTGCTTGTGACTTGGGCTGTCTTCCCCTGATGCCAGTGCACAAAGTCCAGATAAGTAATTAATTCTCTGACAAAAGTCACTGTGGTCAGATAGAGTTGAGGTGAACAGTACATATTGGTAATATGTTGCCAGCCCGAGATCTTCTGGGTTAAAATGTGTTAAGAAATGGAATTGCAGCTCTGTTTTGTCACGTCACCAGGTACCAGCAATAACCGCATGACTACAATTAAGGCATTTTGGTGTTTGCGAGGCCTGGAATAAACTGATTTTTAACTGCAATTTTTCATGTCCATTTCTCCTGCCTAGTGTAACTACAGGGCAAAGTGAGGCTATAAGTTATTTTTGCACCTCCTAATAGGCCAAGAAATTTGGTGCAGATGGCCATTTTACACAGATGGCCTTTTGGACGTGATATTTTCACCTCCTTTATTATAGGCACTTCCCTTGCCCCACTAGTACGACTTTTACTGTGTCTATGTGAAAAGAATTGGTTGTGCACACCAGTTGCAAGTGCAAGCTAAGCATGTGGTCACGGGCACAATGTGGGTTATAAAAATCCTTCCCTAAATTTCACCCTTTGTTTAAATAAGAGGTCTCCTATGGGGATATTTGTGCCTTCCCAAGTGTACAGAGCACCACTATGGTGCCGAGTTCTCCCTGCAACGTTCAGCCCAAACCAGCGTGTTTTTGTTTCTTTAGGACGTTCCATAACCTTGGATGCATGTAGCTCTTGCAGTGTTGCAGGCAGAAATTGGAACTGGAAACAATGCAGATCAGACAAATGACTACAAAACATGTTAGTCTTTCCATTTGTACCCGACTGCCACGTGTGATCAAACTTTTCTTCCCTTTACCTTTAGGGAAAACTGTCAATAGGCCTATCAAACTCCAGATAAGTGGAAGATAAAGAGAAACATGGTGGTGGGCTGTTGGTCTTTGGAGGAGTTCTGATTCTTCTTATCAATCCAATTTTGGCCCGTTAGCCATTTAAAAACAAAATGGCATTTGCCCTTCTGATAAACCAGCTGGTTTTGAGATAAGCCAGAATGCAGAGTTTTATTGATCCAGTGATAAGCTGCTGATGTGTGATCGGGCAGGGGTGGAGGGAGCAGACAGGGTGGCAGGCCCTTTTGGGTATATAGGTAGGGATCCTAGAGGTCCCATGTCAGCCCCGTGTCCAGGACTGAACTGCAGTGACCCGAGGACCCTTTGGGAACTGCTTCCAGAGAAGAGCACCATGAAGTGGCTGATTCTTGCCCTGGTGTGTCTCCACCTCTCTGAGGGGATAGTGAGGTGAGTGCAGAATGACACCACAGCTGCCTGGCAGCAATTTCTGCAACGGTGGCTGGAGGGAATGGTAGGAACGGTGTGGGGGGTTGGTTTGGACGGGGGCCGGGACCCCTGGATTGTGCCCTTGGCGCTCTGGTGGTCTGTTCCTGCAGCCTTGAGCAACTTATTTAATCCCCCTGCATATTATAAACCTTCCTCCCTTTTGAGCAGTGAGAGGTGCCTATTCAAATGCCAGTGTATTTTTAGGAAGGATGACTAGCGTCCTCTTCTATGGCCTAGCGTTTTCCCTGAGTTCAGAGAAACAATAGTGAAGGATTGGCTCTAAAATTAAGCACTAGATTGATTCCCAAGTAACGCTCTCCTAGTTTTAGCTTTCTGTTGTGCTACTCACTCACTCCTCCAAGTAGATCACATTCAACTGCCCCAGAAGATGAAAGATATGGGGTCAAATTCATCTCTGCTGCAGCTACACGGAAGTCAGCAGGGCCCAAGGGGCCCAGTGTTCAGCCCAGTGTAGTGGACCATACACCAGCTAGATCATATAGCCCACTGGAAAAAAGATCAGACGCCCCCACCCAAAACAACTCAGCGCTGAAGAATGTGAAAGAAAGGGAGTGGGAATAGGAAGAGTGAAAGAGGGAGGCGAGAGCCATCCCACTGACTTCATCACTGTCTCTATCCTGTGTAGAGTTCCCTTGAAAAGATTCAAGTCCATGCGGGAGGTGATGAGGGACAAGGGCATGCTCAAGGACTACCTGCAGACGCACCATTATGACCCAGCCAGCAAGTACTACAATCAGTTCTCTGTTGTTTCTGAACCCCTGGCTAACTACGTAGATGTGAGTATCTGCCTGGCTGCAAAAATAAGGGGGAGGAGGGAGCAGAGAGAAAGGAAGGAGGGTGCCCATGGGACCGGGGAGGGGGAAGGAGACCGTTCCTTGAGCAAAGGAGCAGGGGTGGGAAAAGAGCAAGCAGAGCATCTCCCTGACCCCACCTGGCCTCTGGCTGCTGCGCTGGCGTGAAGTGAGCTTTGCCGCGCAGCAGGCATCTCCTGTTCTCAGTTGTACTATTGTCTGGGGAGCGGTAGGAAGCGGGGGACTGGTGATGAGAAGAGCATCTCTGTTTCTCTAGATGTCCTACTATGGTGAGATCAGCATTGGGACCCCTCCCCAGAACTTCCTGGTTCTCTTCGACACGGGCTCTTCCAACCTGCGGGGGCCTTCCGTGTACTGCTAGAGCGAGGCCTGCAGTGAGTAACCTCTCCAGACAAGGGGCTGGGGGAATATGCCTTCTCCAAGGAGGGAGGTTCTGTACCGCAGTTGCCCATCCCAATCGCTAAGCCAGCCTGAAGCCGGGGGTTAGTCAAGAATATAGACATTCTTCCAGTCCCCGTGTGCTGAGAGTTGTGTAGTGTCACTGCAAATTGATAGGTAAGGGGGAAGAATTGACTTAGATTGTGACTATTTTGGGCAGGGACCATCCTTTTGTGCTGTGACTACAGCTTAGTCCTGGGCCGTGACTCTGACTCTGGCTCTTTGGGCCTAGCTCAAGGCTAATAGTAATTGGTACATATGAATCTGCCAGACAGCACTTTATGGGGTCTTGTTCAAATGCTCTCAGCCTCTTCGTGAGGCCACAGAACAGTGCGCCAAGGCACCTGCATCGCCATAAGGACCCTATGGTTTGCATAGGCACCTGCTGTGTTTTCAAACCACTGCGTACCCCGAAGGATGGGAGTGGGAAAGGGAGGGCTAGCAGCTAAAGAGCAGGAGTGTGGGTTATGACTGTGCTACCTCAGGCGAGTTGTGTCCCCTTCTGCACCTCAGTTCTCCAACCTGTAAAATAGCTGCGATAAGCCCTACCTCTGAGGTGCTGTGAGACCCAACTGTGTGGTGCCTCGAGAACTGGAGCAATGGGCTCGAGTTGCAGCAAGGGAAGTTTAGATGAGATATTAAGAAAAACTTTCTCACGAGGAGGATAGTATAGCACTGGAACAAGATACCCTGGGAAGTGGTGGAATCTCCATCTTTGGAGGCTTTTGAGACCAAGGGAGACAAAGCCTTGGCTGGGACAAAGTAGTTGGGGCTGGTCCTGCTTTAAGCAGGGTGTCGGGCTAGATGTGACACCCCGAAGTCCCTTCCCACCCTCATTTTCTCTGATTCTATGATCTTCAGCTGGAAAGCTTTACATCAAGGCAAAGTATGTTGTTAGGAGATGTTTCCAAAGGAGATTAGAGAGCTAGGCCCCAGATTCAGTTCAAGCTGGAGTCCATCATTTGTGCAAGCTGAAAACTTAACGCTGTTCCTTTTCTCCTGCCCAGCCAACCACCTGCTGTTCAACCCTGCTAACTCCTCCGCATAGTCCACGCAGGACCAGAGCTTCTCTCTGCAGTACGGGACTGGCAGCCTTACAGGAATCTTCGGCTACGACACCGTCACCGTAAGTAATGGTGTTGGTCAGGGAGATGCCAGAGTGACTATCGCTTTAGCATTAGCTGGAAGAGATCAGATGCCAGGGCACTGAGCAGAACCTGGAAGAAGGGGCTCCAACCGCCTCTGCATGCTGTAACACATCTATGTCATGCAGTGGTCAAACGCCTCTTATTTCCAGGGCTTGGAGATCTGGTGGACATGTGGTTTTGGCTACCAAGACCTACTGGGAAATTCTCTGTTTAAACAACATGCTGTTAAGTGCCAAAGCCGACGCATCTGTTCCTCTCCTCATCTTGATGAGTATGGGTTGCAACCTGTCTTTTATTTTTTCAAGTAGCAGGACACCTGAGAGTGTTTGTGTTGTAATCCTAACCCTGCCTCTGACCTGCTGTGCAACCTCCAGGCAAATCACTTCTGCAGTCTGTGCCTCTGTCTCCCCATCTGTATAATGGGGGTGATGGTCCCTGACATTTGGAGGGTTAGATTCAGCGCACACTGGACTCTCCTTCTGAACTTGGGTGGATTGGGCAGCCTGCTCTCTCTGTCCGGTTGTAATGGCTGTTTCCTCCCACTGCCCCACAGATCCAGACCATTGCCATCTCAGACCAGGAGTTTGGCCCGAGTGAGACGGAGCCTGGCACTAACTTCGTCTACGCACGGTTTGTTGGGATCCTGGGTCTGGCCTACCCTGCCATCTCCGCCGGGGATGCCGCCACCGTGATGCAAGGCCTGATTCAACAGAACCTCCTCGATGCCCCACTCTTCAGCTTCTACTTGAGCCCGTACGGAGGAGACCGTTCCCCTTCCCTTACTGCTTGTGCACTGCTTTTGGTTTCTCTTGGTGTGGTGTGGGCCTCTTGGGTTTCCCACACCTCCAGGAGGGCCCTGGCTGACTCGGGAGGCTCATCACTTGTTTTCTCTTCCCTTCACCTTCAAAGCACCCATTCTGTTTGGCACCCTTTCCTATTCACAACTGGTCAATAAAAGGGAAGCTCCATGAGGTCATTCACCCTTCCCGCCTTCCCAGCAAGAAAGGTCCTGCCAGGTAGCAATGTTAACCCCTGCTCATGGACTGCAAACCCAGGCTTCACCATAGGATTTCCTCAGAAGGCCAGGGGCCAAGCATCCACACCTGGATGGAATCTGTTATAGCTTAGTATGCCCAAAAACTCAGGACCATCTCTGCTTGCATCACAAAATCATCTGTTTTCTCCAAGGAGTGCTGGGGCTTTGCTGAAACACCCATTGCAACTCACTTTGAGTTCTGGTGTTAGGTGTATGGCTGGGTGCCTGGCTCACTAGGTGAATACATAGGTGTCTAGACATCTGTGCATCTGAGCATGTTGAGCAAGAACCATGAGGACTTTTGCTCCATACCTCATTCTGCAACACAGTTTGTTTTGCACTCGGGATCTTGTCGTAAACAACCAAGCACTTTCTCTCCTCTTATATTAGGCAAGATGGCTCTCAAGGCGGTGAGCTCATCTTTGGAGGTGTTGACTCCAGCCTGTTCACTGGGGAGATGATCTGGACTCCTGTCACCCAGGAGGCTTATTGGCAAATTGCGATTGAGAGGTAAGGTGATTTACACTTGTCTTTTGTAGGCAGCTGGGCCCTGATCTGTATTCTGCTGAAGTCAGTGGGATTATACCCATTGACTGGGACTTGTGCTGTGATGGGGTTTTGAGTCTCTGGGATCTGAGGTTCCTGAGTTTGGTCTGTGTGGCCTCAGAGACCCAAAACTTCCTAAAGAATTCTCTAGGTACTATGAAAACACAAACCTGGGGTCCTCAAGTCAGGTCCCTCAGGTTTTCCATCATGTGGCAGAGATGGGGAGGATGTACAGACCTCTTGTATTTGGTTTCCTTAGTTTCTCCATCAATGGACAGACCACTGGCTGGTGTAACAATGGCTGCCAAGCCATTGTGGACACTGGGACTTCCCTCCTCACTGCTCCTGGAGATGTCTTCTCAAACCTGTTGGAGTCTATTGGAGCTGAGCAAAGCGGCAACGGCCAGGTAGGAAGAATGGCAGCCCATGGCGAGGCTTAAAAGTGGAAGAGAAGGACATTGCTAATAGGTAGGCTTGTGCTACCCAAGAAGTCTGGTCTAGTGGGTAAGGATGGGGACTGGCAGGCAGGTGTTCCTGGGTCTTCTCTCAGCTCTAGAGAGTGAGGAGCATGATCTAGACTTATAATTTGGGAGTCTGAGCTCCTGGGGGCTGTTCCTGCCCCTGTCATTGACTCCTGCATTGGCCATGGGCAAAGCATTTAAGTGTTTTGCGTTTGTCCAGCCACGAGTACGTGAACTTAAATGTCTTTGGGCCTTCAGAGTGCTGGCAGGATTAACATTTGTGAAGCATCAGTTGCCTTCCTGTGGCTCGCGGTGCAAAAGAAGCACAAGTCATTGGTTTCCATCTAACGGTCCTACAGAGCTTTCGTGGGTTCCTGGGAGCTGCCTGAGGTGCAGACCTTTGCCGGAGATGTGTGGTCTCGTGTGTTAATCTGCTCTGGCTCTTTCCTTCCACGGTACGTTGTTGGCTGTGACAGCATTGATAGCCTGCCAACCATCTCCTTTGTGATCAGTGGAACCAGCCTCCCTCTGCCTACGTCATCCAGGTATGCATTTCTCATTGCCCTGTCACCCACAGTGCCTCAACTTTGTGCGTTGAGGCAAGCTGCCATTTTGATACGGGGTGCTGGATAGTTTGGGCTCTTGTCGGAGCTACTGCCCTGAAGTGCATTAACTTGGCATTATTTCCTCCTAACAGAGCACAGATGGCAGCTGCGTTGTTGGCATTGGGCCTACTTACCTGCCATCCCAGAACGGGCAGCCCCTGTGGATCCTTGGTGATGTCTTCCTCAGGTCTTACTACTCAGTTTATGACATGGGCAACAACCAGGTGGGCTTCGCTCTTGCCGCCTAAATGAAACCCACCCTCTTCTGTGCGATGCCATACCGCTTCCCGCCTCTCCGCTGACCCTCCGTGCTGTGACATAGTGGTCCCGACTGCTTCTCTGCCATGTCCTGAGCATTTCTCTCCACTGAACTCTGCCTTTTTTTGTTGTTGTTGTTGAAGCCTCTCTCTCTTGTACAATTGGTGGTATGAAATTCTGGGTTCTCATCCAAAGGTGACTGCAAATAAATAAAAAGGCATAAAAATAACACGATTCAACTGGAGTTTGATCTGTTTTTTCAGTGTCAAGTAGGTTTCCCTGTTAAATGCGCCTGATGTCATAGCTTAGGAAGAAACAAGGAGTTTCTCCCAATCAGTAGTACTGAGCCACGGCGAATTAACAGCTCACCCAGCCACAGGGATTTTGTTTTAAATACAGATCGTTTTAAATGGGGCATTGTGTATAGAAGACAGTGCCTCAACTGTGCTCAGATTACAGGCTGTACTTGCTAACTGGCCAACTTCCCTTCCCACCCCTTGTCAGGGTCTGATAATAGGCCGCGCTCCTTGCCTGTAGGTCTCAAAGCACCCTTAGATGGAGAATGAGGTTTGGAGATTTCAGCAGAAAGCCGGTCCCTTACTAAGCTGGTGGCTGAGAGAAGGTAGATAGTGTCTCGTGACTCTCAAGCCCTTGCTCTAACCCCAGCACTTGAATCCCTGCGTGAACTCAGGCCAGGTGTTTCCCCTCTGTGTGCCGCTCCTTAACCCCTGTGAAATGGAGGCTAGTACCAGCCTGATGATTCCAGCAGAGCGTCGTCTCCTCGGAATTTGCTAGCTGGGAAAATCAGAAATTTTGGCTGAAATGGTCTAATGTCGCTGAATTTCTGATGCACCCCTGGAGGCTTTGGGTGTAAGGCTACCATTTGGCTTCAGATTTTCAGTGCAGAGAAGTGTCCTTGGACCTCTCTTTGATCTTAGTACAGGGCAAGAAGGGCCTTTAGGTGGGGTGTGTCTGCACCGCAGACTATGGCATCATGTAGAGAGATCTTGACCTCTCTTTAAACAAGCTAGTGTGTGCACCAAAACCAGTCTAGCTGCGGCAGCCAGGAGCTTCACATGGACTAATTTGTCCTCCTTTTAGCTCACCTACCCAGTAAAGTACTTGTAGAGTGGTGGGTTTGAAGTGATAGGGAAGAGTTTCAGTTATTTAGCTGGGTAGACACTATCCCTGATAGGCCCCATTGACTCCCCAGGCCATGGGTGAAATGCAGGTGCATTTCACAAAGGCTGGTGAGAATGGGCAAATATCCTCAGGTCAGAGGCTAAGATATTTTAGACGAAGATGATCCTGCCTTGAGAGAGGGGGCTGGGCTAGATGACCTCCTCAGGTCCCGTGCAGCCTGGTTTTTCTGATTCTGTACCTTCGCTGTTATATACCGTTCAGTCTCGCAACACAGCTGTCCCAGTCCTCTGCCCAAATAAATCCCTTTTCTCCAAGACACCAGACATTCTCATCTCTCTTTCTCACAGGCCCAGTGTCTTGGGCAACAGTTTTATTTTCACTTTGTTCGTAGATTATACTGCAGTCACACGATTCCAACATTTGCCTGCCCTGTCATGCTTACTACATGGCACCAGATGTACTTAAGCTGCAAGGACACAATTGCGTTTGAAATAACTGTTTGCTACCTACATCCAGATAGACTATGCCTAATTCCAAATGGAAGTTACTGAATCGGTGATGTTCTGGTGGCCGCTACAAGAGAAGACGGGGAAATCCAGAAGAGACCTCCCAAACCAGTCCAAGGGATACTATTAGAATATCTACCTTAGACCTTCCTTGAAGAGTTGGGTTAACAAGATATGAAACATGACTTGCCATTTGGTGTTGGCAGGGTTCAGCTTATTTAACAGCCTTGCTGGAATAACGGGGTAAGGGATCAACCCAGCCACCTGGTGTGATGACTTGTTCTTGTCTACATACAATCACGGTTGTGTTAAAGGTCATCTCCGTTAACCCAGTTCTGGCTGTTTCTGTGCACCGACACTAGAGGAGACTGTGTGCTCGTATCATGCATTCAGCTGGTCACAAGGTAAAGTCCTAGCGAAGACGAAGCAGTTTGTAGTTGTTGTGTGTGCAGGTTGAGATAAAGACTATGGGGGGATCCTAAGGTTGACCTCAACCTGTTCATGCCCATTAAATGTATGACAGCGTTGTCTTGACTGTTTACCTCACTTGAGTTATGATGAGCTAAGAAGATGGTTTTCTTCCTACTAAAGCAAAGATGTTAGGGGCTGGAAAGGACCTCATGAGATCATCAGGTCCAGCCCCGTGACTTTGAATGAGGAGGACAGTTTCTGACTTAGCCCAGAGAAGAGCTAGTAGAAAACATCTTGCAGCAGCTTTTATTTTGGTGGCTTTTCAATATAAATGGTATTTTTCTTCAGAAAGTATAATGGTAACTCAGCTGAAAACGAAGCCAAGTGCAAGGCTGGGGTAGGAGTGAGCTGTGCAGTCTATGATGTTTTCCATTATAGTGTGGTAAGTTGAGAGAAGGGGATGAACTGGAACGGGAGTCTGCGTGTGTGTATAGGAAGCAGCAAGAAATACCACAAAATAGATATAGAAATGGAGTCGAAAGCCAGCGTGTCACAAGAAGTATTGGGCCTATGACCGTGAGACAGATCCAAGAAGGCTAGGAACAGATGTTGCATTTGTCTGGACAAGCTGCACCTTTGTTTATCCGGGAACAGAAATATCCTAGGATTGGTGTGTACGCACATCACCCGTGTAATCGGGGTTTAGTGAGTGGCTGAATGCATTGCCACTTTTCTGCTATTGATTCAATAATGCAATCCCGGGATAACCATTCAGACTCCCTTTGTGATGTTGTGAAATTAAATGTTAGTACTTCTGATCTCCTGTCCTGGACACAGAGCTTGTCCAGACTACGTGCAAAACTCAAATGACTAAATCATAATAACAGTGCCTTTTGCACAAGAATGCAAGCTTGTGGTTGGGACCGCCCGAAATACAGCAATTTTTAGTTAACCCCATCTCCTGCTTCTAGTATTGAATACATCCCGGGTCTAACAACCCGAGATCAATTATGAATAGCTTTCCCTTTCGAAGTGATTGCCTCTCCCTGTTACCACATTCCTCACCAGTCTAGGTTGGCTAACAAATCTTTTGGGATCTGCCCTCTGTAACAATGACCTATGCAGTGCCCCGCAACACATGATCCGAGGTGCTAGCGATACACTGGACTTGATTATAGCTTGCTTTATTTGCTTATTGCAATAGAGTACCTGCCACTTTCCTATTAAGCTCATTCTCTAATTAATAAAGCCTTTCTGCTTAATATCGATGGAAGTGTCATGTCTATCCTCTTAAAGCCCTAAGTATCCCATTTTAATTGCAACACCCTGAACCTTCTGAAAATGCATCCCAGGACAATGGATATAGATGTGTGGATGATTGCACTTTTTCATGGGATAGAATTGTTTAACCCAGGACAAATGGGATGCCTGTTTGTAGCTAAAGAGCCTATCTAGTTAAGTCTTGCTACAGTGGTGCTGGGAACTGGGAGCAGAAAAATCTATCTTCTGCTTTTTTGATTCCTTGTAAATGAACACAGTTGCATCGCAGGAACACTTCATCACATTTGTTTCTCCTTTAACTGAAATGACCCTGCTAGATGACAAAAGTCTGGTTAACAGCTTGGGTTTAAAGAAGGATAATGGTATCATTTAATTGCCATGCATTATAAGAGCAACTATTCCTTTGTTTGGAAAAGACCTAGCCAATTTAGGAGGTAACAGATAACACTTCAGTGCACTGACACTTTGATAACAACTCCCTTTGTTCTGAGCACAAATTTGCTTCTTGTCAGATCTTAGTAATGGGATTTTACTATCAAAGGTGCTAATTGTTCAATAACCTCAGTTCGCAACAAAGGAGAAGAAAAAACTTCTGGCACTCCTCCGGAAATAGAGTATAAGGAAAATATTGACATTGGCTGAGCATGGTGATAAGTGAAACTGGGCGCCAGCAGATAACGGGTAAAGGGAGTGGCAGTTCCTGGGTATAAAAGTAGGGAGTCCAGATTGGAGGCTTCAGCCCAGCCTTGCAGTGGTGACCAACACATTCTGTACAGGAGCTGGTTGCTGGAGAAGCCGAGCACCATGAAGTGGCTCATCCTGGCCCTGGTTTGCGTCCAGCTCTCGGCGGAGGGGATAGTGAGGTGAGTATCCCGGTGCACGTGTGGCATGATCAATGCATAGAGGTACTTAGCCAGGTGATACCCACAGTAGCACTACTGCATTCAGCTCTGCCATGTCCTTAGGGTCCTTAAAAATCCTGCTAACACTAGGAGTTTTTGAAACATCTGCATGTGCTTCAGTGCTTTGGGTGCAAGCACCCCAAGCAGTAAAAGGCCCCTGACAAGAGGTGACCTGACATATTGAGCAGTTGATTTCTGGAGCTCTTCCCTTCATCCCATGCAGAATCCCTCTGAAAAAAGGCAAGTCGGCGCGACAGATCATGAAGGAGAAGGGGACGTTGGATCTGTTTTTGAAGCACCACAAAGTTGATCCAGGCAGGAAGTATCACTCCAGTGAATACAATGTTGCTCATGAAACGATCACCAATTACTTGGACGTGAGTATTAAAACCGACTTCTCGCTGTCTGTCTACCTCCCTGTCTACCACCTACCTCACCAATCTATTTACTTGTAAGAGAAGTCTCATGACTTCTTTCTTCTTTTTTCTTGATGGTCACAAGTCAAAAGGAAGAAGTAGTGATTCTTTTTCACCATTCTTGGAAATCCGTATCTCCTTGGAATAGTTGGTGCTTTGGAGGCAGGTTGCTTTGGAAGAATTGAAAGGAACATACCAGGCAAACAAGTTCAACTTCTAGTTTTATTTCTTTTTGATAAAAAGGCAGATTGGAGGCTTTACTGCTTTTTATTCCCCCCCAACTTACTCACCAAAGTCTTTATGTTCTCTGGGTGGCTTCATGTTCCTCCTCCTAGGAAAACCTTGAAGAGCTAAGACTCGGCGTTCTGTTCTTGGCTCCACCACTGAATTGTTGGGTGACCTAGTTTTCCTGTTATGACCTCCCATCCGTTCAGAGGCCCGGTGACCACAACCGTTTATTGGAAACCAGAAATATAGGTGTAAGAGTCAAGCAATAAAACCTCAGGCTGTGAAGTACAGTATTGCACCACCTACTAGGACAGGGGTGGGCAAAATGCAGCCTGCCAGGCCATTCTATCCGGCCCGCGGGGCCCCTAAAAACATTTAGAAAATTAATATTTATCTGCCCCTGGCTGCCTGTCATGCAGCCCTCGATGGCTTGCCAGAACTCAGTAAGCGGCCCTCCGCCCGAAATAATTGCTCACCCCTGGACTAGGAGGTCAGGCATTCATGCATCCTTTGGTCTGTCGACTCTGACATGTCCCAGGGTCATTCTAAACTTCCCCTTCTCTCTTCTTGCACATGTTTATCTCAGCTAAACGTGACGGACATGTCCATCTTGCCACATTCAGTTAACAAAAACACTTTGGTATTTCAACAGCATTTGAGCTGACTGCATATGACTGGAATATTTTTATCAAAAGTTACTATAACTGTTACGTTAAATTACTGCTGGCACTTGCCAAAAAGCAGCTATCGGTTCTTGGTACCTAGCTTACTGGTGGTGGCCTTGACTAATGCTGGTTGTTTTTTTTTAATTCTGAAGTAGCTGAAAGTTTTGTTTTCACAGGCATTCTCATCAAATGCAGCCTGAAAGGGGGCGGGGGGGGATCCTAGCACTGTTTGGGTATCAGATGCCCTGCATGAAACAAGTGCAATGGGACGTAGGTTCCTTCATGGTTTGTGAGGCTCAACTGCATCTCCAAAGAGGTGGTGCTGTTATTGGAAATTGTTATATGGACATTGTTATTGACAATCAGGTAACAGCACATTGGACTCTACCTTTGCATGCACTCTCTCTGTCCTGCAGACCTACTACTTCGGAGAGATCAGCATCGGGACTCCGCCGCAGACCTTCCGCGTCCTCTTCGACAGCGGTTCTTCCAACCTGTGGGTGCCGTCTACCTACTGCCAGACAGTGGCCTGTTGTGAGTATTGCTCAGTTGCTGAGTGTTTAGAAGATGTGTGACCTGGTCGCGTTGCTCTTCAGACACATAGTAAAGCTCTGATTAGGCAGAGTGGATTCACTAGCGCTGGAGAAGAAATTTCTAGTCCTGTTGCTAGAGTCACTGTAGTGCACCATACTGCCATGTCTACTGAGGATGAGCCTATGTCCCAGTTTGGCCAGGACAGTCCTGGATTTTGGAGGCCAGTCCTGGCTGATGGGTGAAAATTAAAACAAGCATCCTGGGCATGGGGTGGGGAGGCAGAGCAGCATGAGCAGTGAAATAGGAAGACTTAGAAGACAGCAAATTTGCCCTAAAGTAAGTTAGCTTTATCAGTGGAATTAACATTAAAAAGAAGAGAGGCTTGTTAACCCCTGTTGAAGCAAAGAACAATAGGTCATGAACTCCTTTAGCTGCCCAAATAGTAATACCAGCTGCAGCATGCTGTCCCACCCCTGCTTCTGCCTGCAGCGGCCCCACTGACTTGAAAGGCAGGGGTGTGGCAGGGCCGTGTCCCATATGGTCCCGTATATACTTGACATTTCACATTGTCCCATATGGCCACCCTATATACTTAAAGACGTGTCATTGTAGAGACCCCACATTCTGAATGGTAAAACTGTGCTCCAAGGACTCGGCTGGTGTGACTTGACACAGCTCTTTGGGCTACTGTGCAGATGCTAGCTTAGACCCTCTGATGATCTGGTCCAAAGTGCTTGCTGTGGTGATGGGAGCAACAGGAATAT